TTTTTTTTTTTTTTTTTTTGAGATGGAGTCTCACTCTGTTGCCAGGCTGGAGTGCAGTGGCATGATCTGAGCTCACTGCAACCTCTGCCTCCCGGGTTCAAGTGATTCTCGTGCCTTAGCCTCCCGAGTAGCTGGGACTATAGGTGCGCACCACCATGCCCAGCTAATTTTTTGCATTTTTAGTAGAGATGGGATCTCACCAAGTTGGCCAGGATGGTCTCGATCTTTTGACCTCGTGGTCCACCCACCTCGGCCTCCCAAAGTGCTGGGATTACAGGCGTGAGCCACCACGCCCACCCAATTAATATTTTTCTATGGTATGATTTAAAAAAAATTTTTTAGATACAGGGTCTTGCTGTCTGCCCAGTCTAGGCTCAAACTCTAGGCTTAAGCAATCCTCCTGTGTAGCATGAATTTTATTGTTTATTTTTGTGAGACAGGGCCTCACTCTGTCAGCCAGGCTGGAATACAGTGGTGTGATCACCACTCACTGTAGCCACCACAGCCTCCCAAGTGGCTGGGACTCTAGGTGTGTGCAATTCTTTGCATGCCAGCTAATTTTTTGTATTTTGTAGAGATGGGGTTTCACCGTGTTGCCCAGGCTGGTCTCAAACTCCTGGGCTCAGGCAATCCACCCGCCTTGGCCTCACAAAGTGTTGGGATTATAGGTATGAGCCACTGCACCCAACTGCATCATATTTAATAGCTATGCCATATTATATTATATTAATAAGAATGGGGTGTGTGTGTGTGTGTGTATAATGCATATATAATACATACATGTATATTTACAATTACTGCTTTATGAGACTTGGTTTTTTTTGTTTTTGTTTTTTTGAGACCAAGTGTCACTCTTTTTGCCCAGGCCGGAGAGCAATGGCATGATCTCAGCTCACCACAACCTCCACCTCCCCAGTGCAAGTGGTTCTCCTGCCTCAGCCTCCCAAGTAGCTGGGATTACAGGCATGCACCACCACGCCTGGCTAATTTTGTATTTTTAGAGACAGGGTTTCTCCATGTTGGTCAGGCTGGTCTCGAACTCCTGACCTCCGGTGATCTGCCCACCGTGGCCTCTCAAAGTGCTGAAATTACAAGCATGAGCCACCACCACGCCTGGCCGAGACTTGCTATTTTAAGAGCTCCTCCCACAAACTTATGCAGTAAGCATTCTTATCTCTTTACATAGAAAGAAACCAAGGATCGGCCGGGCACGGTGGCTCACGCCTGTAATCCAAGCACTTTGGAGGCCAATGCAGGCGGATCACCTGAGGTCAGGAGTTCAAGACCAGCCTGACTAACATGGTGAAACCCCATTTATTAAAAGAAAAAAAAAAAGAAACCAAGGATCAAAAAGACTAAGTACCCAAGATTACCCAGCTAAGTAAGTGGTAGAGTCACACATGAAATTGGGGCATTTTGATTCCACAGCTTGTGCTGTGTGCCCCAAAGCCTCTTCATAACGTATATTTTAAAGGCTTTGGTAATATTCTCCAGGAGAAGCATCTGCCTGCATGCCCAATAGGTAAGGCAGACCCTGGAATCTAGAGTGCTTTGCCAGCTACAGTGTTAGTAAAGTGAGAGTTGGAGGGGCCCTGGGCACTGAGGTCTAGCCCTGCATGCCTGTGAGTGAGCCTGAAAAAGGCACTGGGAAGCCAGGCGCATGCCTGTAATTTCAGCCTTTTGGGAGGCTGAGTGGGGTGGATCACTTGAGCCCAGGAGTTTGATACCAGTCTGGCCAACATGGCAAAACCCCATCTCTACTAAAAATACAAAATTTAGCTGGGCGTAATGACATGCGCCTATAGTTGAGCTACTCAGAAGCTGAAGCAGGAGAACCGCTTGAGCTTGAGCCTAGGAGGCAGAGGTTGCAGTGAGCCAAGATTGTGCTGCTGCATTCCAGCCTGAGTGACAAAGGGAGACTATATCTCAAAATAAAAAAAGGCTTTGGGAAACGCCAGGCTATAGTTCAGTTAGATTAGTTAAGAGGGCAGCCTTTTAGGGGAAATACAGCATTAAAAAAAGCTAAATACATTTTCATCTATTGAGTGAGATCTAAACACTGATGACTCTGTTAACAAAGTTGTGGGGAAGTAGATATTCTCTACATTGCTGGTGAGAATACAAATCATCCCATGGAGGGCATTTGGCAATTGGCATCATCAACAGTATAGATGCATATGTTTCTTTGACCCAGTAATTTCCAGTTTGGGAATTTATCCTACAAATAAATACCTGCACACATGCAGCATGATAGATGGACAGTGTTATTCATTCCAGTGTTGTTTGTTATAGCAAAAGTTTGATAGTAACCTAAACACTCACCAGTGAGGGAACTGGTTTAATTATGGGACAGTGGATGTATTTGCTTGGTGAATGGTAATTGCTAGTGTGTAAACCCCATATTTCAGTGGCTTAACACAGTAGAAATATATTTCTCTCCTACATGGAGTTTAATATGGGTGCTCCTATATAAGAGGCAACTCAGGGATCCAAGCTTCTTTTATAATCTCTTTTATGTCTTTAACCTCACAAAATTTGTGAATCCCAAATTTGTTGTTTGCATTAAGCCAACAGAATGGGAAAGGGCATAGAGGTTTGTATGAGACAGTTTATGGACCAGGCATGGAAATTGAGATACTACTTTTGTTCACATTCTGTTGGCTAGAACAGTCACAAGATCTTACCTAACTGCCGGGAAATAGTTTAGCTGTGAGACCAGGAAGAAGAGGAAAAGATTTGGTGATCAGCTAGCTGTCTATACCATGGCCAAGTCAAATGCAGCTGTGAACAAGGATGAGGAAGCTCTTTATGTACTAATGTTGTGTACAAAAAGATACAGCGCCACGTGTATGAAAAGAGGAAAAGTATATATTCATGTTGACTTATGAATATAAGCAATCTCTTCAGGGACACATAAGAAACTGCTACCTGTTTGGAGGTAGGTGGTGGGCAATCATGTGGAAAAAAATGGAGTAGATAGGAGACTTTTTGTATACCTCTGATTTTAGAGGTATATGAATATATTTACCTGTTTTTTTTTAAATGCCAAAGAGGCCATCCAACCAAGTTGTTGATCTGAGGGTACTGAGTTAAGGGGGAAGATTTAGGTACAAAGCCTTGGAATAGACAGTGGGGAGAGCAGAGCAGAAGTTCAGAGCAGAGGCTGGGCCGCAGAGCCTGGAGAGGCCTCCTGAGCCCCTTAGCAGGCGGCTGCAATAGCTTTTTATATAACCATACCCTGAAGGCTTCTGAGTATAACCAGAAATAGATACATGCAAAGCATATTAGAGTGCACAGACTCACTCTTCCCCTTGGCTTTGGATAAAAATCACAACAGATATCCAAAGAGGAAGTAGAATCTGCACTGGTTTCTGCACAAGCAGTCTTTGCTCCAGAGCACAATGGACAGGCAGCAGGAGCATCCCCGTTCCACCCTCAGCTCAGTCCATGCGTCATGGACCTCCGACCAGTGTGTAAGGCAGGGATTCTAGAGGATGGAGACGGCTCTGATTGTTAGCATCATGCTCATAGACCAACCCGTCAGTATTTCTTCATAGATTTTTTTTTTTTTTTTTTTGGAGACAGGGTCTCGCTCTGTCACCCAGGCTGGAATGCAGTGGTGAAATCATTACTCACTGCAGCCTCGACCTCCTGGGCTCAAGCGATCCTCTCGCCTCAGCCTCCTCAGTAGCTGGGACCATACATGCACACCACCACATACAGCTAATTTTTGTATTTTTTTGTAGAGACAAGGTTTTGTCATGTTTGAGCCCTGGCTGGTCTCAAATTCCTAAGTTCAAGCAGTCCACCTGCCTGAGCCTCCCAGAGTGTTGGGATTACAGGCATGAGCCACCGTGCCCAGCCTATTCATAGATATTTGAATGTCTACCCTGATCCGCTATTGTTAAGTAGTGAGATTACAAAAGTAAACATGAAAAGTACAGTTTTCACAATTCCTGCCTACACAAAGCTGTTCAGTCCAGGGACTGCTTGACTGGTGCCCCTTCCACAGGCAAGAGATTCTTGATAGTGTGATGTTGGTGGGCGCACTCGCTGTATTGTGCCTTTGGCCTCATCACCTCACTATTTCTTCCCCTTGCTCCTGATGAACTGCTAAAGAGCAGTCCTGAGTTTCTGACTTGGCTAAGTTCTCCGCTTTCCACAGGGCAACATTGACCTAAGCCGTGTGGCTGTGATGGGACATTCATTTGGAGGGGCCACAGCTATTCTGGCTTTGGCGAAGGAGACCCAGTTTCGGTGAGTTTCCTGGTAGTGTTGCTGTGCTTAGCTCCATACACCATTTATTCACTCAGCAAGTATTTGTTACACAAGTAGAATGTTCTTGGCACTGTTTAGGGACTGAGGATTCAGTGGTAAACAAGAAAACAAGATCTCTGATTTCATGGAATTATGTTATTGTGGGAGGAGACAGATGAGTGAAAAAGCCAACAGATAATAAAATCCCCATGACCAAGTGCAATGAAGAAAAATAAGGCTGAGCATGTTGGCTCACTACTGTAACCTCAGCTCTTTGGGAGGCTGAGGCAGGAGGATTGCTTAAACCAGGAGTTTGAGATCAGCCTGGGAAACATCACAAGACGCTGTCTCTACAAAAAAATTAAAAAACAAAACCAAAAAACTTAGCCAAGTGTGATAGTACATGCCTGTAGTTCCAGCTACTTTGAAGGATGAGGCAGGAGGATCACTTGAGCCCAGGAGTTCGAGGTTACAGTGAGCTATGATTGCACCACTTCAGCCTGGGCAATAGAGCAAGACCCTGTCTCAAAAAAAAACAAAAACAAAACAAAACAAAAAAAACAGGCTGATATGTCTCTGAGAAAGTGAAACCAAGACTGGAAAGGCAAAGAAGTCAGCCGTATGAAGATCTAGAGGAGGATCTTTCCAGCCAGCAGGAATAGCTAATGCAAAGGCCCTGCGGTGGAAAGAAGCTTACTGTGTTAGGGTCGGAGGAGAATAGGGAGTGAGGGGGAGGCAGTTTAAGCTGTGATCAGAGAGAGAAATAGGGACCAGAGCACAGGGTCGTTTGGCCAGGGTAAGGAGGTGTAGATTTTATTCTAAGTATGATGGGAAACTGTTGAAAATTATCAACAGAGAAAAATCAGTCGTACATTTTAAAAGATCCTTCTGGCTACTGCGTGAAGAATGGACTGTAGAAGGACAAGACCAAAAGCCTAGAGGCTCATTAGAGAGAGCCTGTTTCAGAATCAAGGTGAGAAATGATGACGAATTTTCATCAGAATTGAGATAGTGGGATGGAGAGAAGTGATTGGAGTCAGGATATGTTTTGGAGTTTTCAGGACTTGGTCATATGGGAGGTGAAGGACAGAGAGGAAATGCAGATTTTTCTTTTTATTTTTTTCCCTTTGAGACAACAGAGATTTTTTTTTTTTTTTTTTTTTTTGAGACGGAGTTTCACTCATGTTACCCAGGCTGGAGTGCAATGGCGGGATCTCGGCTCACCGCAACCTCCACCTCCTGGGTTCAGGCAATTCTCCTGCCTCAGCCTCCTGAGTAGCTGGGATTACAGGCACGTGCCACCATGCCCAGCTGATTTTTTGTATTTTTGGTAGAGACGGGGTTTCACCATGTTGACCAGGATGGTCTCGATCTCTTGACCTCGTGATCCACCCGCCTCGGCCTCCCAAAGTGCTGGGATTACAGGCGTGAGCCACCGCGCCCGGCCAAGCAGAGATCTTGATACCTTTTGAGATTAAAAAAAAAAAAGAAAGAAGCCAAAAAAAAGGAACAACAGAAATCTTACTCTTGCCCATGCTAGAGTGCAGTGGTGCAATCAGCTCACTGCAGCCTCAACCTCCTGGGCTCACGTGATCCTCCTACCTCAACCTTTCAAATAGCTACAGGAACTACAGGTACATGCTACCACAGCCTGCTAATTAAAAAAAAAAAAAAAAATGTTGTTTCTTTTTTGTTAGAGATAATGTCTTACTATGTTGCCCAGGCTGGTCTTAAACTCCTGGGCTCAAGTGATCCTCCTGCCTCAGCCTCCCCAAGTGCTGGGATTATAGGGATGAGCCACCATGACCAATCCAAGGTTTTTCATTTGTGTATCTATTGATAATGTGAGTGGAAGACGATTGTCCCTTATTGAGATGGAGAGGAATGGAGGAGCATTTTAGGGGTCCGAGGAGGGAAATGGCTAAATCTTAATGCCATAATATTGCCCTTGGTGACATGATTTTACTGTTGGCACCAAGGAGGCTTTTCCTAACCTCACATAGCACCTTGTGCAATCAGGGCACTAAGCTATATTGTTTTGTCACCTTGTCTGTTCTGTCTTCCCTGCTGGACTGGGAGCTCTTTGAGAGCAATAACCCTCACTTATGTCTGTATCCAAAGCACATAGTAGGCACTCAATTAATGTTGAATGAATGAATAATTAAATGAGTGAAGTGCCATTCTGTGGAACTCAGGTCAGTCACCCGAGAGTAGATCCAGGAGAAGAAGGAGATCTGATCCTTGCCTTCAGAGGGTTTGAAATCTAGAAGGATCTTGGGCGAAAAGTGAAAGTGATTCCTATATAAGATCCTAACTGAAGGCTGTGGGCCCTCGTACCCCTTTCCTGGCTTTCTGAGCCTTTACCCAACAAAGGGAGGAACTCCACCCTTCCCCCCACCACCCTAACTATTCTTGCCTGAGATTCCGCATGGCAATTCCAGATGTCTGGTCCTATTCCAGGTGTGCGGTGGCTCTGGATGCTTGGATGTTTCCTCTTGAACGTGACTTTTACTCCAAGGCCCGGGGCCCTGTGTTCTTTATCAATGCTGAGAAATTCCAGACAATGGAGAGTGTCAATTTGATGAAGAAGATTTGTGCCCAGCATGAACAATCTAGGATCATAACCGTTCTGTGAGTAAACCACAAGGTCATGATCCCAGTGCCCTTGCCATTCACCACTTTCTATGGCGCCCTTAACTTCTGGATTACTTAGAACTTTCTACCCATTAGTAGAATACCTGAATACTTCCTGAATTTCAATGTCTAAATTCTTTCAGAATTTTCTGTCTGCCTCTCTTCTCCGCTAAGCTCCATCTACAGTGATTTCTTCCATAGTTTATCTGACTTTATGACAGGATTTACCTAGTGCTTTCTGAAAGGGGGCATTATGGGATTGTGTGTTGGAAAGGAAGTGGTATGGGTCTGGGTGAGTTCCAGAGATTGCTAGCCTCATTAAGGGAATTTTATTTTGTCTTTTGAAGAATGTGAATAGGTAGACCTTTGATATTCACCAGACACATTTTAGACACCTTTGTGAACACTAAAATCACAGATCACTGTAACATATGTTGTCTTCTATAAACCACCTATATTCTGGTCAAGAGAAGCCATATTTTCTTCACTTATCATCAGCACTATGAGTTGGTTTCCTTTTGGGAGCCATTTTTCACAGGGAAAAAATCATTTCTAGTGACTTTAAGAAATGTTCCACATGTGGGAGGTGATATTGAGCTGCAGATGTCAGGCTGAGATCTCACGGACTGCTCCTACCCTGCAATCGAGCCCAGTGGCACACAGGCTTCCGGGATCTGGGTCTTGTTTCGGCAAATGACAAGTGACTACATGCCATGGACCTTTGGAGTCACTTGGGTAGTTGAAATGCCAAATCCAGAGCCTTTGAGCACTGGGGTCAGCAGCATTGCCAGTGGCTTCTTCACTTGTTCATCTTGGTCCTGGCTGCCTTGCCACCCCTCCTCCTTCAGTTTGGTTTCATGGCAGTAGACACTCCCTGAATGCTTCCCCAGGTCAGATTCAAGATAACTGTGACCAGGAGGGAAGGGAGGTGAGGCCAGTTGGGAAGGGATACACACAGGGGACTTAACTCCTGGCAACGTGTCACTTATTCAACTGAGTGCTGGATACTCAAGTACCCCATGTTATATATATGTATCTTTTTGTGTGCCTTAACTAATGCATTTTTTAAAGTTAGTCTTTCTGTGATATCAGACAAATACTTCAGCATTTAAATTCGCTTTCTCTCACTGAATTGACTGGTAAATTTAGTTATGAATAATTTAGCCCAAAATTAACCCAGTGAGGATTTCACTAAATGTATTTAGTGTCAAAGGACTGAAGTTCTAACCCAGAAACCCCCTCTTACAAAGCACTCACTCTTACTTTTCTGATTATTTAAATAAAGGCAAGTAATTCCTTTTCCCTCTTCACTCTGTGGTACAGTTCTAAAGAAGGTCTTAATTTGTTTTGTGAATGTTTGAAATTCACCGGGCAAAAGCCGTAACTAATAGATTGTAGTAACAGAAATGCCACATGCCACAGACCCCACCCTCTTGCTCCTGTCCCTGCTCCAGCTAGCTCAACCTTTTCCCTGCACTGTCAGGCGTTGTAGTTAGGGGCTGAGCTACCTTTGAAGCCAGGCACATCTGGCTTCAAGTCCTGACTCCATCCCCAGCTACTTGTGAGACCTGATCCTAAGTAGATCGTTTCTCTCCTTGGATTCTGTCAAGGGGGAAAATGCTTCCCTTACAAGGTTGCTGTGAAAATGAAGTGTGATAATGGATGAAAAACACCTTGTGCATAGTAGGTGCTTAACACATATGCCTTAGCCTCCAGACCCCTACCAGTTATTTTTCTTTTTCTCTAGTGGTTCTGTTCATCGGAGTCAAACTGACTTTGCTTTTGTAACTGGCAACTTGATTGGTAGATTCTTCTCCACTCAAAACCGTGGGAGTCTGGACCCCTATGAAGGGCAGGAGGTTATGGTGCGGGCCATGTTGGCCTTCCTGCAGAAACACCTTGGTAAGGAGAAAACTGGAGTTCTTGGGGCAGCTGTGGGGTCCCTTAGATTTCCCTGCAGCACAGTGAAATCTCTGATATGTCTGGGATCTGGGAAGGAGATTTATGGCAAATGGAAAACCTGAGTGAAGGGGAGACTTACATAGAATTATGGGGAAAAACAAGGCTGGGCACAGTGGCTCATGCCTGTAATCCCAGCACTTTGGGGGGTTGAGGTGGGAGGATGGCTTGAGGCCAGGAGTTCAAGACCAGCCTGAGCAACATAAGACTCCATCTCTACCAAAAAAAGATAAAAATAAAAAATTAGCCAGATGTGGTGGCTGCAGTGGGAGGATCAGTTAAGCCCAGGAGGTCGAGGCTGCAGTGAGCCGTGATTGTACCACTGAACTCCAGCCTGAGCAACAGAGCAAGACCCTGTCTCCAAATAAATACATAATTAAACAAATAAATAAGAAGAAACACTAAACTGAAAGTTGGTAGACCCTAACTTTCTTACTTGCAGAATGACCTTGGCCTAGTCATTTAACCTCTCTGAACCTTGGTTTCCTGACTGTAAAAGGAGTATTCACCTCCCTTTACTCCACCACCTCGCTCCTTACCCAAACTCATTACCCGCCTTATCTGCGTTTTAGGGGAGTTTATGAGGATAACGGGCTAAATTTATGGAAGTGTTTTAAATAAACAAAGCATGAAGGACTATGACTAATGTCATCAGTCACAGAGCAGCTAAAGGGCAAGGCCTCCAGAGGTCCCTGATCCAGCTTCCACCCAGAGGAGACATCCTCTTATTAAGCTTTATTGGTTACAATGACTAAAGTTTCACAAACTTGAGAAAAAAAGGGGAGTTTGTTTATGAGTGTGCACTTGGACTGGGTGGGAAACGCGGTTACAGAAATCAGGGGGGCTTGCAGGACTGTCTCATGGCTTCAGTCTCTCTGTGTCTTCTTCTCATGATTATCTCATTTTCTTTGTTCCATTATACATTTTTTTTTCTTTCTGGTCTATGGTTTTTCTCTCACTGATAGCAGCTGTTTATTCAGTTTCTGCTTCCTTATAGCTTCACTCGGCTTGAACCACTCAGAGTCTGTTGCCTCTGGGTTTGTGGCATCCTTTCATCTTCAGCTCCCACTGCTCACTGCCATATTTTTTTGATTTCTTAGAACAGATTCCCAAGAGAGGCAATTTGATTGTATCAGCTCCTCTTTGCCCACCAGAACATTGTAGCCCTGTCCCAGCTGGGCCCTGAGCCCTCTGCATCAGATGTCCCTTTCTGATCCCTCAGCAGGTGCTGTGTGCAGGGCAGTTTCCATGAGAAAGGAGCTGGGCTTGCCTGAATTTCAAAGGTTTGACTTAACTCTAATTAAGAGCAAGATCTCCTACTTTGTAACCCCCCTCTATTTTCCCAGGTTAACTTCTCAAGAGGTACCCAGAGAAGCCTCAGACAGCACTTGGCAGTTCCCTAGATATTTGAAGTAAACTATGCTGGTCCTCTCTGAGTTTTCTGTTTATTAAGCTAAATGTTTGTGGTACCTCCACCTGTCCCCATTCAGTTCCCCATGTTGCTTTTTGTTATCCATTCCTTTTGAGTCACTGTTTTTTGGTGCCCCTTCTAAAGTGTGGTGCCCTGGCCGGGCATGGTAGCTCACATCTGGAATCCCAGTGACTTTGGGAGGCTAAGACAGGAGTATCGCTTGAGGCCAGGGGTTTGAGACCAGCCTGGGCAACATAGTGAGACCCCATCTCCACAAAAAAAAATAAAATAAAATTAGCTAGGTATAGGGGCATGTGCCTATAGTCCCTGCTACTTGAGATACTGAGGTGGAAGGATCACTTGAGCCCAGGAGGTCAAGACTGCAGTGAGCCAAGATCATGCCATTGCACTCATGCCTGGGCAACAGAATGATACCCTGTCTCCAAAAAATAAAATAAATAGATAAACTGTGGTGCCCTTACTTGACTATAATGTGTTAGGTGTGGTCTGACCAGTGCTTGGGACAGCTAGACAGTCACCTCTGTGCTCTGTTTTTTTGTTTTGTTTTTGAGACAGAGTCTCACTCTGTCATTCAGGCTGGAGTGCAGTGGTGTGATCTCAGCTTACTGCAACCTCAACCTCCTGGGTTCAAGCAATTCTCTGGCAGCTCTCCTGCCACAGCCTCCTAAGTAGCTGGGACTACAGGCATGTGCCACCACGCCCAGCTACTTTTTTGTATTTTTAGTAGAGATGGGGTTTTGCCATGTTGGCCAGGCTGGTCTCAAACTCCTGACCTCAGGCGATCTACCTGCCTCCACCTCCCAAAGTGTTGGGATTACAGGCGTGAGCCATCACACCTGGCCACCTATGTGCTCTGGACACTAGCCTTTTAGTTGGATGACCTGAGTAAATTCAAATTTCTCTTTTTTTTTTTTTTTCTTTTAAATCAATCAATGCAGAGGAACACATTTCTCACAAGTGCACAACAAACTTAGCCTGGATTGAGTCTGCATTTTAAACACACCTGTCTTATGCATTTATTGATGTTTTAGAAGTAAATTTTCTTCTTTTTTTTTTTTTTTTTTTTTTTGGCGACAGAGTTTCACTCTTGTTGCCCAGGCTGGAATGCAGTGGTGAGATCTAGGCTCATGGCTCACCTCCTGAGTTCAAGTGATTCTCCTGCCTCAGCCTCCCGAGTAGCTGGGATTATAGAAATGTACCACCATGCCCAGCTAATTTTGTATTTTTAGTAGAGATGGGTTTTCTCCATGTTGGTCAGGCTGGTCTCGAACTCCTGACCTCAGGTGATCTGTCCTCCTCGGTCTCCCAAAGTGCTGGGATTACAGGAGTGAGCTACCACGCCCAGCCCAGAAGTAAATTTTCATTTCTCTATTTCTGCCTGATCATTTCATCTTGCACATCATAAGCCATGATTCCAGCCTGCATCTGGAGACCTTAGGGTCAGTTAGAGACCTTAGGGCATCATTCTTATCACCTGGCAAGCAGCGAATGAACCCATGTCTTGAGACTTGGATGGTGCCTGACTGCCTGGTCCTCCCTCAGCCCCCTTTCCCTGTTCCCTCATAGGCACCATGTCATTGTAAAAGCTTAAGATTAAAGATGATAGGAAGCCCACCATGGCACAATTGGGTTCCCTTTAAAAGCAGTACCTGTTGAGCTAAGATACTGATTGTTTGAGACCGGCAGACAAGGAAATGGGAGGCAGGAGAGACTTAGACTGAGGAAAGATTGTTGAGGACTTAATTTATGCCAGGCCTTCTGCTCGCACTTTATTGTGTATAATTCTAAAGACAGCCCTTTCCAGTAGATACTTTTATTATTAACCGCATTTTACAGAGGAGGATACTGAAGCATAGGAAATTTAAGTAATTTGTTCAAGGTTATCTGGTCATTAAGTGGCAAAGCCAATAGGCATCCTAGGCTGTCCAGTTCCAAGGCCCATGCTCTTAGTCACTGCACTGTGATGGTGGTGACTCTGGTAGTTCCATGGCCACAGTAGCACAGTAGGTGTTCAGTCTTTTTTGAGAGAGTTTCACTCTTGTTGCCCAGGCTGGAGTGCAGTGGCGTGCTCTCAGTGCCCTGCAACCTCTGCCTCCTGGGTTCAGGCAATTCTCCTGCCTCAGTCTCCTGAGTAGCTGGGATTATAGGCATGCACCACCATGCCCAGCTAATCTTGTATTTTGTATTTTTAGTAGAGATGGGTTTCTCTATGTTGATCAGGCTGGTCTTGAACTCCTGACCTCAGGTGATCTGCCTGCCTCAGCCTCCCAGAGTGCTGGAATTACAGGCATGAGCCACCACACCCGGCCGGCACTCAGTCTTTAGACTGTCCACACGGAAGACAGTCACATAACTTTGAAGGAGAGGAAGAACAGCTAGGAATGGAGGCTTCCTGGACTATACAGTGCTTGCCTTTAATCTTAGCAGAGGGTTGATAGGCAGGAAAGGGCAAGGGTCTTTTGGACAGAAGGTACAAATGTTTGAGCGGGCCTGGTTGGGATTGGGAAATTGTTTAGTGTATCTGGAGCTCAGGAGAGTGAATTGTGGAAAGACAAAGATAGAGAAATGGGCAGAAGCCAGATGTAGAAACCCATGGATTTGCTGAAGTGAGTTTGAATTTTATTCCACAGGCCATCAAGAGCCCCTGTTGGGTTCTGAGCAGGTGACTGTCATGATTAGACTTGTGCTCACAGTCTGGTGCATTGTATAGGATGGGTCAAGGTGAGAGGCAGGGAGATTTGGTAGGAGGTTCTTGCAGTAAGTAATCCAGGTGATGAGATAAGACAGTCTGGGCCAGCTTGTAATCCCAGCACTTTGGGAGGAGGGTAGATCGCCTGAGGTCGGGAGTTTGAGACCACCCTGACCAACATGGAGAAACCCTGTTTCTAGTAAAAATATAAAATTAGCCAGACATGGTGGTGCATTCCCGTAATCCCTGCTCCTTGGGAGGCTGAGGCAGGAAAATTGCTTGAACCCCGGAGGTGGAGGCTTCAGTGAGCTGAGATTGCGCCATTGCACTTCTGCCTGGGCAATGAGAGCGAAACTCCCTCTCAAAAAAAAAAAAAAGAGAGAGAGAGAGAGAGATAAGACAGGTCGAAAAAGTCAGCCAGGCCCAGTGGCTCATATCTGTAATCCCAGCACTTTGGGAGGCTGAGTCAGGAGGATTGCTTGAGCCCAGGAGGTTGAAGCTGCAGTGAGCTGTGATTGCACCATTGCACTCCACCCTGGGTAACACAGCAAGACCCTGTCTCTAAAGAAAAGAACAGGGCCAAGGGTCTGGGCTCAGGCTAATTAGGTTTGCAAAGAGAGAAAAGCTTTTAGTAGCCACACAGTACATTGTCACATGGGAAACTAAAATAGGCTGTAAGTGGCTCAGCTGAACCTCTCACTCTGGAAAAAAATACTTCTGAGAGCCCTTGTTTGGCTGCTCTGGTGATATGATCTATGAAGACTGGTGCTTCCTTCATATTAACTACATGCAGCTCCTGGCTCCACCTCCTCTCCCACTCTCCTGGAAGACTATTTCACATCTTCTTTCTCCTCAAACTTCTCACACCTCTTCCTTTATCCTGTCTCTCGGCTAACTTTACCTCCCACTTCACTGAGAAAATGGAAGCAACCAGCTTTCCTCAGACTCCCAAAACCACCTCTCCCCACCTTCCTGTGTAGAATCAGCTTTCCCTGCAGTTTCTAGAGTTCCTGCCTCAATTGCCTAATTAAGGCCAACCCCCAACACGAGATTCCATCCTCTTTTGCCTGCTCAACATGACTGTGCCAGTGATTTTTTCTCTTTTTATTTTATGTATGTATATATTTATTTTTGAGACAGAGTCTTGCTCTGTCACCCAGGCTGGAATGCAGTGGCTGCCATGTTGGCCAGGCTGGACTCAAACTCTTGACCTCAAGTCATCTGTCTACCTCAGCCACCCAAAGTGCTGGGATTACAGGCGTGAGCCACCGCACCCAGCCCCTCTTTACTTTAGATCATCAATTTTTCCCTCTCTACTGGTTCAATGCTGAAGTTTCTTGTAGAAAAAAGAAATTTTCTCTTTATTTCAATATCCCCTGCAGTTGCCACCCATCTCCTGTTCCCCATCACAGCAAAACTCAAAAGAATGTCTGCCCTCGATTTTTCTAATTTCTCTCCCCATTCCCTCTTAACCCACTCCACGCTTTTGTATCACAGTACTTTATCAGAACTGCTATTGTCAGGGTCCCCAGTGACCTTCACAATGCTAACTCCAATAGTTCTCATTTCCCATCTTCTGGAAGTCTCTGCAGCTTCTGATGGAGTTGATGGCCCCCTCCTCTGGGAAACTCCTGTCTTCACTTCTGAGATCTGCACTATGGACTTTCTCCTATCTCCATGTTTGGTCCTCTTCCATCTACCTTGCTGCTTGCAGGGCCCAGTGTCTGGACCTCTTCTCATGGCTTTACGTGTTACCTCCTTGCTGGCAACCTCCTCTGTCACTGCTCCACATCTCTACTTGGTCATCTAATAGACGCAACAAACAAAACCAACTTCACCTGCACTCTTTCCCCTATTAGTTAATCATAGTTCCATCCTTCTAGTTACTCAGGTCAAAGTCTTCATCCTTGTCTCTTCTCTCGTGCCTCCCATCCAGTCCCTCACACAATCCTATTGGCTCTACCTTCAAACTACGCATCGTATCAAATCACTTGTCACCACCCCACAGCACCATCCTGTCCAAATCATCTCTCATCCAAATTAGTGCAGTGGTTTCCTAACGGGTCTCCTCACTGTCACCCTTGCCAGTCCCTCCACCTCACAGTCTTATTGTTCTTTTTTCTCTTTGTATAGATTTGGAGGGTAGAAGTGCAATTTTCTTGCATGGATATATTGCACGTGGTGAAATCAGGGCTTTTAGTGTACCCATCAACGGAATAGTGAACATTGTACTCAGTAGGTAATTTTTCAGCCCTCACCGCACTTGTACTCTCCCACCTTTTGGAGTCTCTAGTGTCTTGTTTTTCTACCCTGTATGTCCTCATGTACCCATCGCTTAGCTCCCACTTATAAGTGACAACATTCAGTATCTGACTTTCTGTTTCTGACTTATTTCACCTAGGATAGTGGCCTGCTATTCTGTAAAACTTGATTTCCTTCTTTGTTTATAACTGAGTAGTATCCCATGATATACCTACACACCAGATTTTCTCTATCAGATCTTCTGTTGATGGGCACTTAGGTTGATTCCTATCTTTGCTGTGTGACTAGTGCTGTGATAAACACACAAGTGTAGGTGTCTTTTTGGTGTAATGATTTGTTTCCCTTTGGGTAGATACCCAGTAGTGGGATTGCTGGATCAAATGGTAGTTCTATTTTTAGTTCTTTGAGGGATCTCCATACCATTTTCCATGGAGGTTGTGCTAATTTACATTTCTACCAACAGTGCATAAGTGTTCCCTTTTCTCTGCACCCTCAACGACATTTATTGTTTCTGGACTTTTTAATAATGGCCATTCTGACTAGTATAAGATACTATCTCATTGTGGTTTTAATTTGCATTTCTCTGATGATTAGTGAAGTTGAGCTTTTTTATATATATGTTCGTGGGACACTTGTATGTCTTCTTTCGAAAAAATATCTATTCATGTCCTTTGTCCACTTTTTTCTTTTTTTGAGTCCAGTTTTTGCAGAATGCCTACTTTTTAATGGAATTGTGTATTTTTTCCTTCTTGAGTTGTTTGAGTTCCTTGTAGATTATTATTTTGTTGTTGTTGTTGTTGAGATGGAGTCTTGCTCTGTTGCCCAGGCTGGAATGAAGTGGTGTGATCTCAACTCACTGTGACCTCCATCCCCCAGGTTCAAGCAATTCTCCTACCTCAGCTTCCTGAGTAGCTGGAATTACAGGCATGTGCCACCACATCTGGCTAATTTTTTGTGTTTTTAGTAGAGACAGAGTTTCACATGTTAGCCAGACTGGTCTCAAACTCCTGACCTCAAGTGATTCACCACCCTTGGCCTCACAAATTGCTGGGATTACAGGCATGAGCCACTGTGCCCAGCCTTTCCTTATAGATTCTGGTTATTAGCCCTTTGTTGGATATGTGGTTTGGAAATATTTTCTTCCATTCTGTAGGTTGTCTATTTACTCTGTTGATTGTTTCTTTTGTGGTGCAGAAGCTTTTTAGTTTGAGTCTCATTTGTCTATTTTTTGTTGTTGTTGCATTTGTTTTTAAGGACAAATTCTTTGCCTAAGCTAATGTCCAGAAGAGTTTTTCTTAGGTTTTCTTCTAGGATTTTTATAGTTTCAAGTCTTTTTTTTTTTTTTTTTTTTTTTTTTTTTAAGACAGGATTTCACCATGTTGGTCAGGCTGGTCTTGAACTCGCGACCTCAGGTGATCCACCCACCTTGGCCTCCAAAGTGCTTGGATTACAGGCGTAAGCCACCATGCTTGGCCCTAGTTTCAAGTCTTATGTTTAATCTTTAATCCATCTTGAGTTAATTTTTACATATGCTGAGAGATATGGGTCCTGTTTCATTCTTCTTCATATGGCTGTCCAATTTTTCCAACACCATTTATTGAACAGGACATCTTTTCTCCATATATATATTTTTGTTGATTTTGACAAAGATCAGTTGGTTGTCGGTATGTGGACTTTATTTTTGGGTTCTCTATTCTGTTTCATTGATCTATTTTTCTGTGTTTATACCAGTACCATGCTGTTTTGGTTATTATAACCTTGTAATATAATTTGAAGTTGGGTAATGTGATGCCTCCTGCTTTGTTCTTTTTGCTTAGGATTGCTTTGACTATTCAGGCTCTTTTTTGGTTCCATATGAATTTGAGGACTTTTTTTCTAATTCTGTAAAAAATGACGTTGGTAGTTTGATAGGAATTCCATTGGATCTGTAAATTGCTTTGAGCATTATGGTCATTTTTAAAACATTGATTCTTCCATTCCATGAGTGTGGGATGTTTTTTCCATTTGTTTGTGTCATCTACAATTTCTTTCATCAGTATTTTGTAGCTCTCTTTGCAGAGATCGTTTACCTCCTTGGTTAAATGTATTCCTAGGTTTTGTTTTGAGATTTTTTTGGTAGCCATTATAAATGGGATTGAGTTTACGATTGGGTTCTCAACTTGTTATTGGTGTATAGAAATGCCACTGATATTTTTGTTTGTTTCTTTATCTCACTTTATTGCCTGGACTGGTCTCAAACTCCTGGGCTCAGGCGATCCTCCTGCCTTAGCCTCCCAAAGTGCTGGGGTTACAGGTATGAGCCAGTGCACCCAGAAAAATCACCACCACTGATTTTTGTATACCAATTTTGTGTCCTGAAACTTTACTTGAGTCATTTTTTTAATGTATGTATGTATATATTTATTATTATTATTATTATTTTGAGATGGAATCTCGCACTGTCATCCAGGCTGGAGTGTAGTGGCGCAATCTCAGCTTACTGCAACCTCTGCCTCCCGAGTTCAAGCGATTCTCCTGCCTCAGCCTCCTGAGTAGCTGAGATTACAGGCACGTGCCACCACACCCAGCTAATTTTGTATTTTTAGTAGCGACAGGGTTTCTGCATGTTGGTCAGGCTGGTCTCGAACTCCTGACCTCATGATCCACCCACCTCGGCCTCCCAAAGTGCTGGGATTACAAGTGTTAGCCACTGTGCCCAGCCTTATTTCTTTATTTAATTATTATTTTGGCTTCCTTAAATCATGGTATTTATTTATTTCTCTTTAAAAATATGGAATGCTTAAGGAATTTGCATGTCATCCTTGTGCAAGGGCCGTGCTCATCCCTGTATTGTTCCAGTTTTAGTGTGTGTGCTGCCAAAGCAAGCACTGAAGCGTCTTTCCTTCATAGAGCAGACACAGTGAGCCCTTAAGGAATTTAGTGAGACCTTCTCACTCTTCTGCTCCGAATTCTCCAGTGGCTCCCAGTCTCTCCAAGAGTCAAATCCAGACTCCATTATCCTGCCAGGTCTATGGAACGTGGCCTTCAGTCCCTCCTGGCATCCTCCTCTGCTGTTCTTCCCTTGGTTCACTTCACTCTCACCACATGAGTCTCAAACGCTCCAGGAATGCTGCTGCTTCAGGGACTTTGCACTGCTGCTCCCTCTCCCTGGAACATTCCTCCCAGGTAGTCTCATGGTATACTCCTACTACCTTCAAGCCTTGCCTCAAATCTCACCTTCTCAGTGAGGCCCACCCTGACCACCCTTTTTAAAACATTGGGCCCTTTCTTCCTCCCCTCACGAACCCAACCTCCAGCCACCATCAGTGCTTTCCTCGGCGGGCACCTCTTCCCTTTTTACATCCTGTGTAATTTACTATGTGTATTATTTGTCTCTGCCCACTAGATGATGAGCTCTGTGAGAAGAGCAGTTGCCATCTGTTTTGTTTGTGGCTATATTTTTGGCTCCAAGAACAGAGTGTGGCACATAGTGGATGTGCTCATTGTTTTTTGAATTAATGACTATGTAGCACTTATATGTCAAGGGCCTATTCTGTGCCAGGTTCCTGGCAAGGCACTGGGGATCTAAAGCTGCATGAGAGTGGTCCCTGCCTTCTGCCCCAGAGTCTGTTTGTTTTGAGGAAGGACACCTGCTCAGCCTCCCCGTTTCCTCAGCCCAAGGGCTTTCACTCTTTGTGCCTGTTCTTGTCATGTAGTTAATCCTACCAGCTGTGAGCTCGGAGCCCCCTCTCAAGTCATTCCCAGGGTTCTGCTGCTCCACGATATTGCTGTCCTGTTGCTCTTACCCTTCACTGAAGTGGCCCTGGATTTGCACCCACAGACTGGGCTGTCAGGGACTGCTTTTTGCCTAGTAACCTCCTTGATCCTGGAGCTAGACTTTTGATTTTCTCTGCCTTTCTTTTTTTTTGAAAAAGGGTCTCACTGTTGCCCAGGATGGAGTGCAGTGGCATTATTACACCTCACTGCTGCCTCCAACTCCTTGCGTCAAGCAATCCTCCCATCTTGGCTTCCTGAGTAACTAGAACTTCAGGCGCACACAACCATACCTAGCTAATTTCTTTATTTTTTTATAGAGTTGAGGTCTTGCTATGTGGCCCAGGCTGGTCTAGGAACTCCTAGCCTCAAGTGATCCTCCTGCCTCAGCCTCCCAAAGCACAAGGGTTACAGGCATAAGCCACCATGCCCAGCCTTCTCTGACTTTCTGACCTGGGTTTGAATTCTGTCTCTACCATTTAACAGCTGTAATGACCTTAGGCAAGTCAGGTAGCTTCCCTGAGCCTCGTGTCCTGAAAAATATAATAAGACTAGTAGTAATTCTTAGCTCATAGGGATATGGTGAAAATTAAATGAAACCATGAATGTAAAGCATTTAGTACAACCCCTAGAATGAATTCTCCATCAATTAAATGTTACCCTCTTTTATTACTATTGTTATTGAATTGTTATGGATTACATAAGTTATTTATAAAAGCACTGAATAAATCATAATTATCATTACCGCCACCACCATACAACCCCACCATAACCAGTCCTTTTGGTATCCCAGGCGCTCCTGTCTCTAGGATGACCCCCTCAATCTTTGACAGCTTCTCTTTGACTATACCTCACAATGATTTGCCTAACCTTGTTTTTTTCCCATTCAGACCTGAAAGAAGACTATGATCAATGGAACAACCTTATTGAAGGCATTGGACCGTCGCTCACCCCTGGGGCCCCCCACCATCTGTCCAGCCTGTAGGCACAACTGGCCATTTGTAAAGGTCACTTGAACCAAGTTTCCATTTGGGAGCTATCCAGGGGCACCCATGAGCTCCTATCAGGAGGTGGTCAACATGACCCTTTTCACAGCTTGAAAGGTGTAATCACACTGCTACTTGGATAACTGGGTACTTTGATCTTAGACCTGATCTTAAAATCACTTTGGGACTGAGATCACTTACTGATTGACCAACAGACTTTCTGGGGCCTTAGTCCTGATGGAGTGGGGAATAAGCAGTAGAGTGGGACTGGGGGAAACCCAAGCCCCGAGCTGAGCACTGTGAGGTCTGGATGTAAAGACTTAGCCCAGCGAGCGCATTCCCTCACCCATGGCCGGTGCTGCTTCAGTGGAAGAGATGAAGCCAAAGGATGGAGTGAAAATTCTTACCGCCAGGAACTCTAGCCCAACCCAACACTATCTCTTCCTACCTGTTAGCCTTTTCCTTCCCCAGGGCCACTTGGTGAAGTCTGAGCACTTTAGGTAAATTTCTAGGGTATGGGCTGTGATCACACTTTCTATTTATTTCCAGGTCTTCTCATTGCATGAAACATAGTACTACTTATACTTACAGTAGTATTTGTGAGCCCACAGAGGGACAGGCAGCATGGTTCTCACAGCACAGGGAGAGAAACTGAGGTACAAAGAGGTACCTCAGAAGCTCTGGATGTCTTTGGGCATTTTGCCAAAAATGTACCTTGATAGGAAACAACACAAGCAGGTTGAGATGGGAAGATGACAGAACAACAGTGTTAAATGGCCATTTTCACAGGCCCTTGCCACAACAGGGAAGTAGTTTGGTCAGTTAAAACTCAGCTACAAGCCGGGCGCGGTGGCTCAAGCCTGTAATCCCAGCACTTTGGGAGGCCGAGGCGGGTGGATCACGAGGTCAAGAGATCGAGACCGTCCTGGTCAACATGGTGAAACCCCGTCTCTACTAAAAATACAAAAAAATAGCTGGGCATGGTGGCGCGTGCCTGTAATCCCAGCTACTCAGGAGGCTGAGGCAGGAGAATTGCCTGAACCCAGGAGGCAGAGGTTGCGGTGAGCCGAGATCGCGCCATTGCACTCCAGCCTGGGTAACAAGAGCGAAACTCCGTCTCAAAAAAAAAAAAAAAAAAAAAACTCAGCTACAGCCTGGGCAATGGAGCAAGACCCCATCTTAAAAATAAACTGAAGGCTGGGCGTGGTGGCTCACACCTGTAATCCCAGTACTTTGGGAGGCTAAGGCAGATGGATCACTTAAGGCCAGGAGGTCAAGGCCAGCCTGGCCAACATGGCAAAACCCCATCTCTACTAAACATACAAAAAATTAGCCAGGCGTGGTGGCACATGCCTGTAGTCCTAGCTACTCAGGAGGCTGAAGCAGGAGAATTGCTTGAACCCAGGAGGTGGAGGTTGCAGTGAGTCAAGATCATGCCACTGCACTCCAGCCTGGGTGACAGAGCAAGACTCCATCTTAAAAAGAAAGAGAGAGAGAGAGATAAAATTTAAAAACTCAGATATTTAAAAACTCAAATATTACGAACCTCCAACTTGCTCAGAATCAGGGTGCTTTTATTGTCTGTTTTCTGGCTCTGAGGCCCTTGCCCCAAATTTAAGTCAGATACAGACTGAATTTCCATTCTGTTCCATTTATAATGTGAATGATATTAATACTCATGTTTGCCTAATGTTATGTTGGAATTTTCTGTTTAATCTGCATTAGAGCAAGATGGAGAGCCATCTGGAATTGGCTTCCTTCTGTCTTTCTTCTGTGTTCACTTACCACTTGGACCCATGTGGGAAAAAAACTTTAAAAGGAAGGAAGTTGTCTTAGGGATCCAGTTCAAAGCTGTTTGGGGGCATCAAACTGAAACCCCCCTCTCCACTACTCAAGACTTCTTGCCTCAGTCCAAGTAGGCAAGAGCAAAAAGGAAATGCATCTCTACACAATGGCCCATGGTCAGGGCCACAAGAGCAAGCTGGGCCTACGTCTCCACCTCTCAACAGCTGGCCTTTCTAAGAGGTGAAACAGCAGATTGTTGAGGCTGTGGGGGAGGATCTGGGAATTCCCATGAGACATATCGTAAGAAAGATATCATTAAAGCCCTGGGATCTAGAGTTATGGAGCCTGGTCTTGAGTCCTGGCCCCACCACTAACTGGGTAAATTTGAGCAAATGGTGTCTCAGCTCTTGCTTTTCTAAAATGAGGGTCTGCATTATGAATAGTTAGAAGGATTAAGTGAGAGGATGTGTAACCCATGGGTTACTTAAAAGTGTATTTCCTACCTTCCAAACATGAGATTTTTCTAGTTACCATTTTTCTTTTCTAGCTTAATTACTTTGTGGTCAGAGAAAATGACCCATATGGTTTCCATCCTTCAAAATGTGTTGAAACTTGGTTGTTGGCCTAGTGTGAGATCAGTGTTGTAAATGTGCCATGTATGCTTAAAAAGACTATATATTCCCAAGAAGTTGTTGGCTTGCTCTTTTACTCAAGAACACATCATAGATTTCCTTCTCTCTTTTTTTTTTTTTCTTTTTTTTGAGATGCAGTCTCACGCTGTCGCCCAGGCTGGAGTGCAGTGGCATGATCTTGGCTTACTGCAACCTCTACCTCCTAGTTTCAAGCAATTCTCCTGTCTCAGCCTCCTGAGTAGCTGGGACTACAGGTGCATACCACCATGCCCGGCTAATTTTTGTATTTTTTTAGTAGAGACGGGGTTTCGCCATATTGGTCAGGCTGGTGGTGAACTCCTGACCTTAGGTGATCCACCCACCTCGGCCTCCCAAAGTGCTGGAATTACAGGCGTGAGCCACCACACCCGGCCCATAGATTTCCTTCTATGAGAGCACAGACAGATATATAATGGGGCCTTTCAACTACCACATGGGCACCAGAGCCCCTCAGCACTTGCAGAACCAGCCGTAGACCAATCCCAAGGATACGCCACCCTTATGCTGGTGCCACAAATGCTGAGAGGCCAGTTCTGGCAGTAGTAGCACGTGAGACCCAGCTTCTACCTTAGCTCCATAAGTAATGCAGGCATGTTTTACAAAATCATGAACGAGAGACCTGGAGCCTCCCTAGTGAAGGGAGTGGTTCAGAAACTAGATCCTTTCCTTCATTCGATTCATGTTCTGGTAATCCCTCATTTATCCAGCAAACACTAAAGTAGGTGAATTTTCCATATAATTGAAAATTATCCTAGAGACAGCAAAATATAATATTGATTATTTTGAATGGTAATCTACCAAAAAGATAACACACACTTCTTAAACAAAGTGAGCTGACTTCATTCAACCTTTTAGGATGTTCCAGTCAGGATAGACTCAGTTGAATGGTGGTAACGGGCAACCCCAAAAGCAACAAAATTTGTTTCTTGCCCATGCCACTTGTCCCTTTGGTTGGCTGCAGGCTCCGCTCTGCATGATTTTTATCCTCATTCTAGGATCCAGACTGGTAGAGCTGCCATTATCTGGAAGTGTTGCTGTTCACCATAGTGGAGCAGGAAGAAAACCTGATGAATCACCTGCTAGCTCTGAGAGTTTCTGCCTGGGAGTGACTCTCATTATTTCTGTTCACGTGTCATAATCCAAAGCATGTCATGTGGCCATTCCTAACATCCCATGCCATCGCAAGAGAGTCAAAATATTGTGGTCAGGTCTCATGTCAGAGAAGTGGCACCCTCATATCTAGGAAGATGCGTATAGCTGTTTAACCTACATGGAGTTGCCCCTTGTGCTGTATTGCTGTTCAGAGTTGGTGTTGTCTTGCTTGTGGTCAGGCTGCAACCATCGCTCCTCAGTGCACCAGCCTCTAGCCCTTGGCCACTTCAAGTTTATGACTTTCGAGGTGCAATGGACTGATAAATCAGCCACATTATTTAAAACTGAGTCTAAAGGAAAACAAGGTAGCCACTGAGAGAGGGTTTTAGGGACTCTCTTGCAACTAAAGTACCTCACCTTTAGTGCATGGGCTTTGTAATCCTCTGACTGCTCCAGAAGGGGTATCACAAGGCCTTTGGTCCCTTGTTCTGGTTTTTGGTTAGCTTCCAGGAGACTAGGACACCTGATAAATGGCCTTTAGATAAGCAAGGAAATCCTGATGGTAACTGACATGTGCTGATAAACTGCATCCTAGTGAATCTTTTCCAGAAAGAGGATGTCTTGGGTTTCTTTGGCATCTTCTTGTTCCCCATCCCACTGCAGGACTCTGTTCTCATGGAGGCCTCCTAGTGGTATAATGTGAAGTTTCTTTGCATGAGATGATAAGCCAGTTAGGAAGGAAGATAATCCCTTCCACTTCCTGGACTTGCGAGACTAGGGCTGGTTGGATTCTTGCTGTGTCCCTAATGTAGTCCCCAAGCCCCTTTCCACTGTGCATTCTGACACAGCTCCCCCTCTTGCCCTTCCTCAAAAATTCTGTTGGACTCTTGAAATGTCAAATGATGGATTCCAACTCCATGTCTTGACCTTGTGGAGACCTTCATCCTACCCCCCTTTTTTCTGGAGCACCACTTATCCCTAGGCCCGCAAAGTCACAGAGGGACAGGAGAGGCCATACTGTATGCTTGGGACTCATCCTCACTAGGAAGGTCACTTTCTATCCCATCACAGCCAGGTACAGAGGGCAGCTGTCCCTGGCCATAGCTGCAGGGCACAGTGACAGTGAGGGTGCCGAAAATGATTGTCACTGTGTGTCAGGACTGTGCTCTGGGCTGACATGCATCATTTAACTTACTGCTCACAGTAACCACGCCAGGTCAGGTGGTATTGGTCTTATTTTATGTAGGGGGAAACAGAGGCTTCAAGAATTGATTTCATCAGGCACTCAGCAAGATTTTGGCAAAGCTGGGACGTAGGCATCAAAGTTCAGGTTTGTTTTTTGTTTTTTGGTTTTTTTTTTTTGAGATAGAGTTTCACTCTTGTTTCCCAGGCTGGAGTGCAGTGATGCGATCTCAGCTCACTGCAACCTCCACCTCACAGGTTCAAGTGATTCTCCTGCCTCAGCCTCCAGAGTAGCTGGGATTATAGGCACATGCCAGCATGCCAGGCTAATTTTTGTACTTTTAGTGGAGACGGGGTTTTACCATGTTGGTCAGACTGGTCTCAAACTCCTGACCTCAGGTGATTCACCCGCCTTAGCCTCCCAAAGTGCTGGGATTACAGGCGTGAGCCACCGCACCTAGCCAGGAGTTTTTGTTTTGTTTTGTTTTGTTTTGTTTTTATGAGATGGTCTCCTGTCACCCAGGCTGGAGTGCAGTGGTGCCATCACAGCTCACTTCAGCCTCGACCTCCCAGCCTTAATCTGTCTGCCAGCCTCAGCGTCAGCCTCCTAAGTAGCTGGGACCATAGGCGCACACCACCATGCCAGGCTATAAAATCTGAGCTCTTAAATACTGTGCTATCATCCCTAATATACATACTTGGCTTTGCAGTTTCTCCCGTTTCTTCAAACTCTCAGAATATAGGGAATGTATTAATCTCAATCGATTAACTAAAAAACATCAAAATCTTCAACTTCTATATGACCTGTGTTGAGTTTCAGTGATATCCTCAACACTCTTGACAAATGGATCGGGGAGAAAACAGCTTCACCAGAAACTGTGGGTCAGGTACTTGGTTAATGGGATTTTTGTTTGTTTCTTTTTGAGACAGTCTCACTCTGTTGCCCAGGCTGGAGTACAGTGGCATGATCACTGCTCACTGTAGCCTCAACCTCCCAGACTTAAGCCATCCTCCCACCTAGGCCTCTCAAGTAGCTGGGACTACAGGTGTGTACCACCACACCTGGCTAATTTTTTGTTTGTTTTTTGTAGAGACAGTGGTCTGTCCATGTTGCCAGGGTTGGTCTTGAGCTCCTGGGCTCCAGTGATCCTCCTGCCTCAGCCTCCCAAAGTGCTGGGATTACAGATGTGAGCAGTTCAGGAACTAAGAACACACTGAAATCAGACAGCTCCAACACTATTAGCCCTGTGACTTTATGCTAATCCATTCACTTTTATGGCCTTTAATGTTCTTATTTGTAAAATGGGAATTCTAATAGTATTTAATTCATAAGGAAGTTGTGATAATTTTTTTCTTTTCTTTTTTTTTTTTTTTTTTTTGGAGACAAGAGTCTGGACCTGCTGCCCAGGCTGGAGTGCAATGGCGTGATCTTGGCTCACTGCAACCGCCGCCTCCCTGTTTCAAGTGATTCTCCTGCCTCAGCCTCCTGAGTAGCTGGAATTATAGGCACACGCCACCACACCTGGCTAATTTTTTCTATCTTTAGTAGAGACAGGGGTTCACCATGTTGGCCAGGCTAGTCTCGAACTCCTGACCTCATGATCTGCCCACCTCGGTCTCCCAAAGTGCTGGGATTACAGGCATGAGCCACCATGCCCAGCCTGGTTGTGATAATTAAATGAAGTAATACATGTGAAGCACTTAGCATAGTGGCTATATTAAGGGCTTAATAAACATTAGCTATTAACACTCTTGTTTCATTTGGGCCTCCTTACATAGCTGTAAGGTTAGGTATAATGGGCCCTTGCACTAAATGGCCCCAATGGTCTTGGTCTATGTTCTTTTTTTCTTTTTTCTTTTTCTCTCCCTTCCTTCCTTGCTTGCTTGCTTTCTTGCTTGCTTTTTCTTGCTTTCTTTTTTGGTCTGTCACCCAGGCTGGAGTGCAGTAGTGCGTTCATAGCTCACTGCAACCTTGTATTCCCAGGCTCAAGCTATCCTGCCTCAATTTCCCAAGTACCTGTGATTACAGGCATGTACCACCATGCTTGTCTAATTAAAAAAAAATTTTTTTGTAAACACGGAGTCTCTTTATGTTCCCCAATCTGGTCTGGAACTTTTGGGATTAGTGATCCTCCTGCCACAGCCACAGCCTCCCAAAGTGCTAGGATTATAGGCATGAGCCACCATGCCTGACCATTGGTCTAAATTTTTATTCCAGCTTCTATGGTCTCATGGTTACCTTCCTCAAGTGGACCCTCCTAACTGCCACCCACCTACTACCATTGTGTCCTCATGTCCGGTTGGAGCTAGGTGGAGAGGCAGTTTCCCATTCTCTTTGTTCTGCTATCCCTGTTCCTCACATGAAACAAAGTCTCCACCCTAGCTCTAGCCTTGCTTCTTTTCCACCTGCAAGAGTACACACTCTTAGGTTCTGGTTGGGTTTTAATTTCACACCAGATCATCTAAACACATATATCTATGCATCAGCTGCAAACTGAAGATCCTAAAATGTCAAAAAGGAGAAGCATAGATCTGTGGAGACGTTGGCCAAAGGGAGGAGCTGGGGACAGGGGCTTTGTAGCAGAGGCTAGTTGTTTTAATTTTTGTCTGCTGCCTTTGACACCAGGTGAGGGGGTCAGAATGCCTTGTCACCTCCTCAGGAGAAACACCCAGGCCTGCAGATGGCCAGTGAACTGGCTCGGCACAGCTCCGTCCCTCATGATTTCCTGCCAAGTCCTCCTGTTTCTTCACTCTTGGTAGTTCTCCCACACAGCCCATCCTTTCCATCTTGTTTGAGCCTGCTGTCCTCTCAGCTCACCCCTGGGCTCATTTCACAGTCTTCTGGACTGTACTCTCTCTTTCCCTGCTGCATTCTGCTGCCAGATCTACCTGAAATGCCACTTTTGCATGAAAATATCAGCCTGGCAAGATGATCTGATGGTAAGAGGACCAAACTGGTTGTCTGGAGCCCTAGGTTCTTGCCTCTGTCACCTGCACCCTCTGTGACGAGTGTGTGTGTGTTTAGTTTTCCTCCCTCAACTTTAGCTTCCTTATCTGTAAATTGGGACATGGGTTGGTGGTTATTGAATTAGCCAGTCTCTTAAGGCCCTGTCAGTTCTGGCATTTCGCATCTCTTTCATTGAGTTGTCACGAGTTTCCAGGACTCCCCTTTCCTTTTTTTCTTTTTTCTTTTCTTTTTTTGAGATGGAGTCTTGCTCTGTCACTCAGGCTGGAGTGCAGTGGCATGATCTTGGCCTACTGCAACCTCCACCTTCCAAGTTCAATCAATGGTCCTGCCTCAACCTCCCAAGTAGCTGAGATTACAGGCATGCACCACCACACCTGGCTAAGTTTTGTATTTTTAGTAGAGATGGAGATTCACCATGTTGGCCAGGCTTGTCTCAAACTCCTTATCTCAAGTGATCTGCCCACCTTGGCCTCCCAACGTGCTGGGATTACAGGCCTGAGCCACTGTGTCCACCTCTCCTGAGGTTTTTCTTGCCTGCAGGGCTTCCCCGCCTCCTTTCTGCACATCCAAATCTTGCTAATGCTTTAGGCTCGGTTCTAATCCCACCTCTTCCATGAAAGCCTTCTTGATTAAATTAGACTAACATTTGATCTCTTGGCCTCTTGTTCCCCAAGAGAAATCAAGTCTGTGCCATATTTATTATTGCCCTTTATCACATTATTCCAGGAGCAGGGCCCATCTGTTGGACAGGAAAAAGCATCCTCCAATTGATTGACATGGGGGACAGGGACCCCTGGCCCTGGCCCCCTATCAGCTCTCATTCCCCAGCCAAACTTGGGAACAGCTGGAGCTCACCCAGCCCTCTGACATCTCCAGCTGTCTCTGCTTCCTTTTCTTTTGGTTTTCCCAGTCCCAGCTGTGGGGCCAGGGCAGAGCCAGCAGCAGCACAGCCAAGACAGCTGGAGCAAACTTATAAGTCACATGGACAAGTAGCATTTGCAAGTTAGAAGGAGGGCAGAACTGAGCACAAATCACACCACTGTTGAAAATGAAGGAAAGCAGTTTGCCAGCTTATTTTTCCCATCTTGCTTTCATCTAAAAAAAGAAGCTGCTCAGAAATACAGTCCTCTTCAGCCTGTTAAGCCAGATGGCCCCGAGATGTTCAGCCTGCCAAGTGTGTATATATAATTATTCATCTTCATGGAATCACACCCAGGTTTGAATCCAGACTCTGACATTTTTCTTTTGTTTGATCTGGAGCCAGTGAATCTTTCTGAGCCTTTGTTTCTTTTCCTGCAAAATGGGGTCACTGGCATCTGCCTTCCCATCTCAGAATTTTTTGGGTGGGATTAGGGATGGGCTCAATGTAAGATGTCAAAGCACTGGATACATTTATGTTGCTGTTAATTATAAAAAGTGCTATATTTTGGTTCTGTCCTAATGTGCTACTACTTAATGAACACTTATTCTGGCCAGATATTCTGCTAAGTGTTTTACATACATTGCATCATTTAATCCTAGCAACATTCCAGTAAGGTAGTGCATGTTAGCCTCATTTTGTAGATCAGGAAAGTGAGATTCAGAAAGATTTGCTAGCCCAACCAAGTCACCCAGCATGTAAGTGCTAGAACCAGGATTTGAACCTACATTGTTGGGCTCCAAAGTCAGTGGGGTTTTTTTGTTTTTTTTGTTTTGTTTTGTTCTGTTTTGAGACAGTCTCGCTTTGTCGCCTAGGCTGGAGTACAGTGGCATGATCTCGGTTCACTGCAAACTCTGCCTCCCGGGTTCAAGCAATTCTCCTGCCTCAGCCTCCCAAGTAGCTGGTACTACAGGCACCCGCCACCATGCCCAGCTAATTCTTGTATTTTTAGTAGAGATGGGATTTCACCATGTTGGCCAGGGTGGTCTCAAACTCCTGACCTCAAGTGATCTGCCTGTCTTGGCCTTCTGAATCCAGAGATGCTGATTCAGAAGGTCTGGAGGGAGGGCCCAAGTGTGTATGTGTGTGTAAGTTCGAGGAATATTACTTCCTGATACACAGTGAAGTTTGAGAATCCTTGCTATGGTATAAGCCTATTAGTCTATTTTCTTTTATGAAATAAGAGCAATTGCTAGCTGAAAATACAGAATTATTAAATTTTAGAATTGGAAGAGGCCTTAAGTTATTTGGTCCATGAGGAAACCAGTTCACTTCAAAAAAGTTCAGCAGGCAGTTGGCAGACTTGAATTAAAAACCAGACCTTCTGACTTGTAGTCTGGTGTTCTAGATAAATCTGTGGATGCCAGGATTTTGTTGGATTATTATTATCTTTTATTTTTTTTTTAAGGAGTCTTGCTCTGTCACCCAGACTGGAATGCAGTGGTGCAATCTCGGCTCACTGAAACCTCTGCCTCCCAGATTCAAGCGATTCTCCTGCCTCAGCCTCCCTAGTAGCTGGGATTACAGGTGCCCATCAGCATGCTTGGCTAATTTTTTGTGTTTTTAGTAGAGATGGGGTTTCACTGTGTTAGCCAGGATGGTTTCAACCTCCTAACCTCGTGATCCACCCACCCACCTCAGCTTCCCAAAGTGCTGGGATTACAGGCTTGAGCCACCACCCCTGGCCAATTTTGTTGGATTATTAAGAATATCCTCAGGACCCACCCTTTCACCAAGACAGCCATGATTTCTGGCAACTGTACCATGGAGTTTCGGGTCTTTTTTTTTTTTTTTTTTTTTTTTTTTAAGAGATAGGGTCTCAGGCCGGGCGTGGTGGCTCATGCCTGTAATCCTAGCACTTTGGGAGGCCACGGCGGGCAGATCACAAGGTCAGGAGTTTGAGACCAGCCTGGTCAACATGGTGAAACCCCATCTCTACTAAAAATACAAAAATTAGCCAGGCATGGTGACAGGTGCCTGTAATCCCAGCTACTTGGGAGGCTGAGGCAGGAGAATCATTTGAACCTGGAAGGCAGAGGTTGCAGTGAGCTAAGACCACGCCATTACTCTTCAGCCTGGGCAACAGAGCGAGACTGCGTCTCAAAAAAAAAAAAGAGATGGGGTCTCATTCTGTTGCCCAGGCTGGAGTGCAAGAGCACAGTCATAGCTTACTTACTGCAGCCTCAAACTCCTGTGCTCAAGCGATCCCCCTGCCTCAGCCACCCAAGTAGCTGGGACTACAGGTGTGTGCCACCACGCACAGCTTTTGAAGTTTTTGTATAAGAAGAAGACTGGGCTAGAAGGCGTATGAGAAATGATGCAGATGGCAGTTCTCATGCATGTTCCTATATTCAACAAGCACTTACTGATGCCTGTACTATGGCCAGCCCTGTCCTCATGGAATTGAACCTAAGGGCAAGAAGGGCAGGTCAACATTAGGGCTCATGTGATGAGTGCTATAATAGGGGATATATATGGCTCAGAAGTGGCACAGGGTGGTCAGTTCAACTCAGCAAGGGAGAAGGCTAAGGCTTCGTAGCGTGTCACATACTTGAGTGTTGTTTGTTTATTCGCTGTGTATTACTGCATAAGAAATTATTCCAAAATTTTAACAGCTTAGAACCACAAACATCTCACATTTTCTATGGCTCAGGAATTCTAGAGTGGCATAGTTCGGTGGTTCTGGCTGAAGGTCTCTTGTGAGGCTGCAGCCAAGACATCAGCTGGGATTATTATCATCTGAAGGCTTGAGTGGGGCTGGAGGATCCATTTCCAAGATGGTGCACTCACGTGGCTGTTGGCAGAAGGCCTCAGTTCCATACCATGTAGTTCTTTCCACAGGACTGATGCTCAAGACTTGGCAGATAGCTTCTCCCAAAGCAGAAGATCCAAGAGAGAGTAAGATGGAACCTACAGTTTCTTTTATAGCCCATACTCAGAAGTCACACTCCATCATCATTTCTACAATATTATGTTATTAGACAAGTCAGCCCCATTTAGTGCAGTAGAGGACTATACAGGAACATGAAAATCATGTACAGGAACATGAAAACCAGGAGGTAAGGATGACTGTGGCCATCTTGGAGGCTGGCTTGCCACAGTATTAAAGATGAATGGAGCTTTCCAGATGGATGGAGGGGGAAGAAAGGCATTCTAGGAAGAGGAAATAAGGTAAAGGTATGTAAAAAGCAAGGCACTGCATGGTCAGGACATTGTAACTGGATTAGAGAATAAAACCTATAGGAGAGCATACTAAGAAATCAGAAGGGGCTTTCAATGCCAAGTGAAGGAGTTGTGGCTTTATCCTCTAGGCCAGCGGTTTTCAAATGTTGCTACACGTTGGCATCTCCTGAGGAGATTTCAGAACTCCCCATGCCAAAACTACAGCTGTAGCAATTAAATAAGAATTTCTGGGAATAAACTCAGACATCAGCTATTTTAAAAGTTTCTCAAGTGATTCCAGTCTACAGTCAAGGTTAAGAACTGATGCTGAAGGCAATACAAAGTGACTGAAAAGCTTGGGGCAGGAGCTGTGTGGTCAGATTTCTAATCTTTCCAGTGGTGAAGAAGGGCAACTGTTCCTTGTCTGCTTATCTAGAAAGTTCTGTATTAGGACTAGAAAGGCCCTATCATCTGTGCTCACTCAGATATTATCATCATCTCTACTACCAAAAAGTTAAGCATGGGGTCAGGCACGGTGGCTTATGTCTGTAATCCCAGCACTTTGGGAGGCTGAGGCGGGAGGATCACCTGAGGTCAGGAGTTCGAGACCAGCCTGACCAACGTGGTGAAACCCCATCTCTACTAAAAATACAAAATTAGTTGGACATGGTGGTGCATGCCTGTAATCCCAGCTACTCAGGAGGCTGAGGCAGGAGAATCACTAGAATCTGGGGCAGCAGAGGTTGCAGTGAGCTGAGATCGCGCCATTGCAGTCCAGCCTGGGCAACAAGAGGGAAACTTTGTCTTAGAAAAAAAAAAAAAAAAAGATTAAGCATAAATATCTGAGTTGTAGTGACCCCAAAAGTTCCCAGCATCCTAAACTGCCTATTA